ATCCCTCCTGCACCCCAACCCCCTGCCCTGAGCCCCCTCCTGCACTCCGCATCCCTTCTGCACCCCAATCCCTTGCCCTGAGCCCCTTCCTGCACACCGCACCCCCTTCCACACCCCGCACTCCATCCCGCACCCCAACCTTTATGATGTTCACCTTTAAAAAAATAAATAAAATTCCCTGGGTTCACACTCTAATGAAATGTGCTGCGCATGCCTATGCAACCTTTATACAATATTTGCTGCAAATATATAACAGTGGTCGCAACAGTGAACTATACAGTTACAGATTATGTCTATTAGAATGAGGATAGGTTTTTATTGTCTTCTCTATGTCTTCTCTGTAATGCTTTTATTCTATGAATAAGAGCAGTTTGCTTTGTGAAGGCTGGTTGGTAACTGTAATAGCTCCTGGCGAAAGGTTAACCACTGGTGCTGGATGCTGGGGAAACCACAGTGAAGTGCATAGGGACTATAGGCCTAAATTCTCCCTTGGTAGGGAGAGCGACACGGGTGTCCTCCTCCCAAGAGGGGTAATGCCTGGGAGCTAGAAAACTTAAGAGGGTACCTTCAAGGAAGACCAGAAAGATGGTGGGGGGGGAGCAGTCAACCCTGAAACTGAGACAGTTAACAAAAACAAATCATTCTAAACACTTCTTCTCCCTTAGCTTTCACTCTTCTTGTGATTTTGCTAGTTCTTCGGTCATCCAGGCTCAGCAGCCCAGAATTTCGGGGACGGAGAGAAGAGGAAGGCAGTGGTAAAAGCCAGGAAAGGGAAATCTTTCAGGTCTTCATCATCTACTAAAAATGTCACAAGCCTGGTTTTTCATTCTTTGCAGATTATCTTTGAGAATCTTCTAAAATGCAGGATATTGCACCTGTTATTTTATAACTTCGTAGGGGAACCTGAAGCTTTATTTTTATTTTTCCTACATCAAACCAAATTCTCCCTCTTGATCAAGTCTGAAAGTTGGCATGTGGGATACAGGTGGTCAAATCCCCTAAAATAAATAATTGAAAATAACATCCACCCACTCATCCACTTTGGATCTTCCTCGACTGTAACATGCATGAAATGAATTCCTTTCATTTTATATCACTCGGAAGGGCAGGAAAATCCAGATCGGAGTTTGGTAGGAGCTGAAGGAGTGGTGTTTGACCTGCCGGTAGGGAGTTAAAGAAGGAAAAAGGCCCAGCCCCGACACCGTAACGGAGTAGGGGGAGGGGTTTAGATTGGTAATCGTGGTGCTTTGTTAAGAGTACAGAGAAATCATTTGGGCTGTGCTTTGGTATCTAAGGGTGGGGTTATTTTTACATATACAACAGAGCGAGGCCTTCCTGGGACTTGGGGTAATAACATGTACATTTTTCATTATTTCTGCCATGGTTTATGTTGCTGTTATTTGTGTATCAGCTGCAGCCTGTATGTATGCATTGGGTGGTGCATTCTTCTTTGTCAGGCTAGAATCTGTTCTCTGTTTCATTTAACTAGAAGAGGAAAGAAGGAAACAGCAAGGAAATAAGAACAAGCTCTTAATGCTTGAGATGTCCTGATGCATGAAAGCCTGGTAGGATTCATATTTCTGACTGTTTTGAAAAGAGATTCCAGGAAAACATTAGAAATAATAACCTGCATCTGTTACCTCTTGCCTTACACAAACTGCTTTTGATGTCCTCCATAACTAGTAGGTTGGGTTGCTTTAAAATTTTATTTTGCTAGTACTGGAATACAAACAGTTTTATGGACTGTAACTAATTAATTGCCTGTCTTTTTATCTAACAACCCACTGTAACTATTAACACTTTGTATTAAAACAGGATCAGAAAATATTTAAAAAATATATTTTTAATATTAATATTATAGTTTATGTATACCTCTCATTATGATTAGTAATGTATATTTAATTACCAAGTATTTAAAGACAACTGTGAATTCACGTAGTGGAAAATCTGCTTTTAGAGAAACCATGCTTGCAGCCGCACTATGATCTTATTACATCTCAAGCTAGACAGGGTCAGCCCTAGGTGATACATGGATGGGAGACCACTGAGGAAAGCCTAGATGCTGTAGGAAAGTGGGACACTGGGCTGTTGGAAGTTCCATCATTTGAATGAGCTGTAAACCTAATGTCCTGACTGCTTTGGGTCATTACAAATCCCATGCCATTTTGCCCTGCCCCCTAAAAACAAGGGTTTTAGCCATGGTGTCATGACCAACTTCTAATTCTGATAATTATATTATCTACTCTCATTTTTTTCCTTTAACTTAAATTGGATAAATTATTCTTCATTTTTCTGCTCAACTATTACTGTCTGTAATGCTGCTGTGTGTTGTTAAATGAATTCAACTTTGCCTCCCCCTCCCCCCCGAGATGGCTGCAGTTAAATAGCAGATGATATCCATATAGCATAATGTTTGTGGTTAATGAAAACTAAAGATAGGGTTGGGTAGGGATTTCCATAATTCTATCTTCTCTTATTGGAACTTTCTCAGAAACGTGTCTTTTGAAGTTGAAATTGTCCATCCTTGGGCTCAGCTTGAAAGTAATTTTTTTTAAAGGTGCACATGAAATTGTTGCAGATGTTGGAGTTAGAGTATTGTGTATGTATAAAATAATACACACCTGCTTTGTTCTTTCTCTGTGTGTAGCTTTTTAAAATATAATAATTCTCCCAACCTACTTTTGCCAATAAATAACTCAAAAACAGCCAAATATAAAAAGGTTGAACATTTAGTCCTCATGGAAGTATGCTTTCCAAGATAAGGTGGAATGAAAATAGTTTAGTATTTGAAAGTAATAAAGGTTTCAGTTTGCACAGTATGTAACTTTTAATCCACTATTTTTTTTAATGCAAAGTTTGAATTGTTTATGCCCTATGCCAGCATAGAATGTTGGGCATACTGAAATTATCTACTGCACATGCTTGTGACTGCAAGAGGAATTTGTATGGGAACAGGTAAGGGTGTGAGAATACTTAGTCCTTTGTTTCTCAGGATTTATCATGTAACAGTTTTTTATGTATCTAACTTGTTCCCAGATTGATCCTGCTTGCTGCTATGGGACATGCACAGAAAATTACTTCCATTTCAACAAAGATTTCTGCTTACTAGGTTACTTACTGGGCACATATATAGTCCATGGCCCATATCTCATGGAAATTATTTGTTCTATGAGATGTGGGCTAAGAGAGTTCTTCCCCATATTCCATGGAATAACCAAAGGGCTGACAGAAGTTGTTCAGCACATGTAAGGAACAAATGTATTGATGTATCTCGCTGCACCTTCTCAAAAGATTTGATGTTTTGAGATGTCTCAAGGCACTTCTTAAGTATCTAATGGCTGGAAATGTGCCTTGACATATTGAAGCAAGCAGATGAAGTATCTAAGAGAAGGTGCTTCAAAGCACATTCTTCATGCATTTAGTCATTAGGTATCTCAAACAACTTTTGGCAGTCTCTTAAGTCTTCTAATGGAGTCAGGCCATGACCCTGCCAGCTCCATGGGAGCATATGCAGACTGTATGTATATGTGAAGATCTGATTATAATAGTGTGTGTGTGTGTGTGTGTGTGTGTGTGTGTGTGTGTGTGTGTGTGTGTGTGTGTGTGTGTGTGTGTGTGTGTGAGAGAGAGAGAGAATGAATATTTAGATCGTAAGCTCTTTGGGGCAGGGACAGTCTCTTTGTTCTGTATTTACATAGTGCCTAGTTTCTGTTCCATGATGAGGGCTCCTAGGTGCTACCACAATGCAAATAATAAATATTAGTAATACATGAAGGTGTGATATAAAAGGTTTACCTGTAAGTTTCAGATGGCTGCATTATTCTTGAGTCATTGAACCTTTGACCCACAACATCACTCAATTTTCATATGCCAATTTGTACTATTTTAGAAACCTGCAAAGCCAAGTGCCTGAGTTACAGTGAGTCCAAATTTTCAGGTATCTGTGGGAAAGAAAAGTTAAAACTACAGTGTTTAATTTCTTTTAAATACACTTCTCTAACATGGTTGGCTTTGCAAATTAAATGGCTTTTCTAGACATAAAAATGTAATGATTTTACAGTCCGATATCTCTGACTTTTCCAGAGCTAGAAGCAAGTACAACATGGCCCACTGGAAAGCAGAAAATCTCCCCCTTTCCCTAGTCCTAGTCACAAGGTATTGGACTTTAAACTTGCCACTGGTATACGAATGAATATTGTCCTTTATGGACCTCAATAACATTTTGGGGGGGAAGAAATGCCATGCTTTGTTGCAAAGTTTTAGTTTTGGTTTTGGAGGCTGTTTGAAGCTGCTGAGCAGTTTGGTATGTTAGAATGACCTGAGTAACATGGATGAGTGGGCAGAGTGCATTGATTTTTACTTAACAGCAATTTTGAAACTTAAACTTTCCTATTAGCATTAGAAATTAGTATGTACTCATTCCTAGTTTGCATCATCACAGATGGCAGTTTCTTCTCTTGTTGTTAAATTGTTTTTTCATTATATTTAAGAAACTTTTAAAGCTGGTATACTTTTCTTTGTATTCAATGCAGGCAATTAGAATACCTGGATTGCTATGCTTTCAGGGTTTCTTTGCACATATAGTATGTGCACTGCTGGGATTACAGATACAGAGGAACTCCTCTGTCATCAGGTGGGGAGACCAGATTTTTACAAAGAAAAAGGGGACATCTGCCATGATGTGAGGCAGGAAGTGTCACAGCAGAGGGTCCTCCCTCCTCTGCAAGCCACCCAGCTCCCTCTCTTTTTCCACTTTTTTTTCTCCTTACAAAATGAAAAATCAAGATGCAATACAGTAAATGGCCAAATAGGAGGAAGCAGTATTTTCTCCATCTGTCATTGCTATTCTCTCTCAATACCAGCCTCTCAACTGCATTTTTATTCCTTGAGGCTGAGCTCCTTATTTTATTTCCTGTCCACCTTGCTGCAATTCCTACCCCCTAGTTTGTTCTTTTTTATCCCCTAGGATACAGTCCTCTTTCTGGGCTTTCTGTTCTTCTGTTTTCAGGATTGTTGGATTTTTTTGTATTTCCTTTGTCTTTTGTTTCCTTCTTTTGACCTTTGCTCATTTCTTCTGTCACTCATTCTGAAAATATGAATTAATCAGTCGTCTACTGAGAAAGGAGATGAGAATAGCTGACTGTAAATGTGTTTGAGGGAAAGTATTTATTTAGGATGGTACAAGGAGGAATAACTAGGACTTAGTGGGATGAAATGTAGAAAGGAAAAATTTAGACTGAATACCAGAAAACATATTTTTACAGTGAAATCTGTTCCATTTTGGAATGATCTCCTAAGGGAAATAAGAGACGCCTCACTGCACTGGACAAAATACTAGAGCGTGTGTTGTAGGGAAGAATACTGCATTGGCAGGGAGATTAACTAAATGGCTTAATAGGTCTCTTCTGACTACACAAAACCTCCTCTGTGCAAACCTCACAGGTCTTTGGGGCTACATGGTTTTAGGGGAAATGGCTAAGCAGGGAGGGAACATGGCAAGAGAAAAGATACTTTTTGCAGCAAAATCTTCTGTCAAACACACAGGAAAATACTCCGTAACTAATGCCTATGGAATCCCATTCCTTGATGTCGATGCGCCTTTTCCTTTGGTGGAAGTGAGGTCCAGGTATGAGCAGTATTGCCAGAGGATCATGGACCTCAAAGATCTGTAGAGGGTATATCTATACTGCAATGTAAGCGTGGGTCTGTGGGACCTGAGTCTGCAGGCACAGGTTTCTAAGCCCACGTTTGTCTGTCCACATTGATTAGTGACCTTGGGTTTAGAATTTTCACACCCATGCTCATGCATCCAGACTTCACTATGCAGACCAGAGTCAAACCAGCTTATCCCAGGCTTTCTGGCACCCTCCCCTGGTGTGGCTGTTCTAGCTTTTCGTTCATGGTGCACTGTGGGGAAAACTTGACTGTCCATCCCATGGCACTTTACTGGAAGTTGTCTCAGCCTGCCAACACCGAGCTATCTTTTGGGTCTGCATGCTCCTGTCAACCAGAGCCAGTAATGTGAATGAGGCATGCTTTTGCTCCTGTTTAGGAAACGGTCAGAGCATCCATCAGAGGCTGGTGGACATTTTTGCAGCATTTTCTGACCTACCAAAGGTGGAGGAGGATGATACAGACATGAGAGACTCCAACTGGCTGATGCAACTATACCGGGAGTCATGAGCAGCTAATGCCCCCTGTGTAGACCGGCACTTGTGGAGCAGAGCCACAAGCATAGACTGGTGGGATTATATCATCATCCATCCCTTGGATGACCAGCAGCGTGTGCAGAACTTCTGCATGAAGAAAGCAACGTTTTTGGAGCTTTGTGAACAGCTAGCCCCACCACAAGAATGAGGAAAGCAATGGTGGTCCAGAAGTGGGTTGCTATAACTGTCTGGAAGCTGGCTACTTCTAATCCTACAGGTCCATTGCTAACCAGTTTGGTGTTGGCAAGTTGGCGGTGGGGTTTCCAAACTGTGCAGGGGCCATTGATGGGATTCATGTGTCCATAGTTTGCCATCCTCAAGGAGCACATGAGTACATAAACTGCAAAGGGACTCCATTGTTATACAGGTCCTTGTCGACCAAAGACGCTGATTCATGGATGCCAACATAGGCTGCACTGGCAAAGTGCATGATGACAGGGTTTTCCCCAGTCTGGAGTTACCATAATGGACAGGCTGAGACACTGTGCCTACCAAATGACATGGTCATAAATGGAGTAACTATATCTGCTGCAGAAGACCCCCTTTTGTCTTGGGTTATGAAACCGTACCCTGATCTCAGAGGCTGGGCAAAAGAAGGTTTAATCACACTCTCAGTAGGTGCAGAATGGTGGTTGAAAGTGCATTTGGCAGATGGAAATCCTGCTGGTGCTGTTCACAGAGCTGTTTAGATTCTAGTGTTATCAATGCTGTCTGCATCACTGTGCTCTTCCCAATCTTTGTGCAGCCAAAGGTGAGTCACCTCATTCAGAGTAGACTCTTGACAGTAATGGATTGCTAGACCGGTACACTCAGCCAGAAAGTGCAACAGAAATTAGGGATGCTTTGTGTGACCACGTTATGGCCTTCCATGGACCAATGGATGAGAGAAAGTAGTATGTTTATCAATGTATCTGTACAGCAATATCAACAATACATGAAGTACTATTGCTGTATGCTAGGGAGGCCAGTGATTGTTATGAATTTTTAATTATGGATGGAATGACTGCTTATACTATCGTGGAGGGGCTGGTGGCTCTTATGCATTTTCTTATGGAGGAATTGAACTCAGGTTTTTACTTGTGGATTTGAAATGTTATATTGAGATGTTTTGTTGCATATGACTTCCCAGTTATGCCCCATCATGGTTTTATCTTTGTTCTTTGAAATGAATGTGTTATGTAGTTCATCTGTAGTGATGGTAATAAACTGTGAATGAATTCAAAGCCTTTATATGTTAACATGAATGTATTAAAAATTACTATTTAAAAATGTATAAGGCCAGCTGCCATGAAACGACCAAAACAAAATTAAAAAATGCATATCTCATACAGTGAGCTGTCCAAACCTGTGAAACCAGTGCCACAAAAAAAAAAAAAAAATTCCCTATTTCAGAGTGTCCCCAGCCCCATGTTCTTTGCCCTTCTAGTGCGTTTTGCATGCACTTGGTGCTGTTGCAGAGGGGTGGAGGACTGCACAGGTGTGGAGGATTACAGGGGATACATTTGCCAAGTCCAACTAGCATTCAGTTCTGGTTGCATGAGCCACCCAACCACAAAATTATCCAATGGGTTCCTGATCTGCAGGACATGTAGCATGGAGGGGACACCAGCCATGATGCTGGCGCAGGAAGTGTAGGTGGAGTGGAAGCCTGCACTCTCCCAGTCATTAGCACAAGCAGCCTTTCAAACAGGTCTTTCTGCTGTGCTCTGTCTTTTTCCCTCCAGTGACGTCCCTGCTGAAGGAACTTCACTGAAAGTCTCTCATCAGACATTGCCTTTCAATTTGTTGTGAATCCTTCTCCCTCTGGTACTGAAACTGCTGGCTGGCCCTGTCCAGGATGTGCACCATAAAGCTGTTGTGGACACATTTCCTCTTTGATCGCATTGTGACATCCCTGGCTTCTGCTTGACTGTGGCTGTCCTGCAGAGATAGAAGGGCCTGAAAACAGAAATGAAACATTATTGTGTCAATGCTTCAGAAAAGGTTCACTACATCATCACCAGAAGTGTCCTTGAAATCTCAAGGCCAAAAAATGATACTTTGTAAAAAAGTGCTTCAGTATATTCCGACAGCAAGGTTTTCCCAGAGGCTCCATGGACGCACATGAGAATTAAGCAGAGTTTAAAGCCTTCACACAGAATGGTGAGGTGAAATTTACAACTGATATATCTTTTTTTAAATATTGCAGACAACTTCAGCCTTGGGGAGGCGGGAGAGTGATGCCCCTTGCCATGGTTTTCTACATGTGGTTTCACAATCCTTTCAAGCATTCAACATTCTAGAGGACATAACGATTCTGGAGGTTCCTGAATGGCAAAGGGATATTCTGCCTCAAGCTACCAGGGGCAAGCTGCCTTGTATGCTAATGAGGTTTTTGAAGCTTATGGTGACTGACAACACATCTACAAGGGGAATGGGCTGGTGACTTACAGAGGCGGGCCCAGCAAGTATGCCTTTTCCCAAAATGTGACTCCAATCTGTAGTGTCTAATGTAGGAAAAGTTTGCAACTATCAGCACCTGGGGTTGGATGAAAATACATGAAAACAAGAAGATGCTGTGCTAGCTTCCACGTGTATTACTGCCTCCTGTGAGCTGCTGAAAGCTGTCTGCATTCATGCAGTTACCTTGGTGCAGCTACAGCTCATGATATAGCCTGCTTGGACTATAGCTGTCTATGGACTACATGCACCCCTCCTCCCAACAATATGGATTCTTAATACTGCACACATGGATTATATACCTACCACAGGGACTGCCTGGACTCATAATAGAGAATGCATTCCTGTGCTGCCAGGTTCTCCAACATTTCTTGGTACACATGGTTATTTCTGGCACTCTTATTGAAGCTGAACATCTTGCTCTCATCATACCAGAGATTTTCCAGAATCTGACTGTGGTCCTGTAACCAGGTAGCAGCGCGCTCAGCAAAGGACTTCTTGTCGGTCGCCATAGCTAACACGTGAGATGGTTCACTCTGTTTCCAGTTCAGAGATCAGAATAAAATGGAAAGGTTAAACGATGAGCACCTGGCTAGTCATGGGATAGAAAGGCCAAGGAACACTGGTCCATAGGACATGGAATATACTGTTGGTAGAGTTTCAGGACGTGTCTGGGGAACCAGGCCCAAGCTGCATCCATGCTGCAAATGATAGTTTGGACTCTAGCTCGGGCCCACCCCCACCGGCTCTTAGGTCCACATGGCTTACTGTCCTGAGTCAGACAGATTTGTGTGTGACTGGAAGGAGGGTTTAGACTCAAATCTGAATCTGAACCCAGGCTTACATTGCAGTGTAGACCTACTCAGAGAGGCTGGCCCTCTCCATAAATGCGCTCAAGTCTACTGGTTCAAACCCTGTCTCTTCCCAACCTCATGATATTTTTCCAAGTATCTTTAGTCCTCCAGTAGGGCTTTCTGTAGAAAGGCAGAATTATCTGTCCTATAATATTGTAGAATGAAATAAGACTTGAGTGACTTGGAACACTTGGGGAGAAAACATATTGACTAAAAGAAAATTACAATAAACAAATACATTTCAAGATATTTGATCATGTTTCAAAAATCTTATGACAACTTTTATAAAAATTATAGCAAGCCCAAAACACTGCATTTTATAATTGGGATATTATAATTTGCGCTATTCTTGTAGAACAATGAATTTTAACATTGGAAAGGTTTGTTGGGAAGAGGATAGAGGCTGGTTATTCTCAGTTAGCAAGGATGGAACAAAATAATTGTCTTAAAATGCTGCAGGGAAAATGTATGTTCAATTTTAGGCAAAACTTTATAACCATTAGATAAACAATGAAACCAGCTGCGAAAAAGGTTGTGAAATCCTTTCCCCTGGAGCTATTCAAGGCTAGATTTAGACGTTAAGCCAGTAGTTATGCAGTAACGATTCTAAAATCTCACTTGCTGGAATGACAGGGGTAGCGGTGATGACCTTCTAGATATTCCTTTTAAATCAAATTATTTCTGTAAATTAAACACTTTTATAGCTACACATAGTTATTTAATGCTATGATACAGGGTGTGGCGTCACTGGCCTGCCAATCATAATTAAGATGGGAAGCTTATCCTGTATCATGTGCTTGTTACATAACAATTTAGTTAGGTGTTGTTGTATAAGAGCTGATATTTATACTATAGATAAGCTAAATATTTTGTGTAGTTATCCCAAAATTTTATTCAGCTATCATATAAAAAAGAAGGCCTTGCAGAATTACAGCTTTAGAAATTGTTAACTGAAGGCATAATTTTGGAATCCTTTGCGGATATATAATTATTTGATGCCAGAATGAACAACCAATCCTTATTTGTTTTTACATTTTGTTTTTATAGGGGTTTTTTGGGCTTCCTGGAGAAACGGTAGAAAATGCAAAACAACGAAATAATAAAGCCTGCTAAATACTTCTCAGAAGTGGAAAAGAGTGTGCTGCTTGCATTAGTTGAAAAATACAAATATGTACTTGAGTGTAAAAAAAGCGATGCAAGAACTATTGCATTGAAACAACGTACTTGGCAAGCGCTTGCCCATGAATATAATTCTCAACCTAGTGTATCACTACGAGATTTCAAGCAGTTAAAGAAATGCTGGGAAAATATCAAGGCACGGACAAAAAAGATAATGGCACATGAAAGACGGGAGAAAGTAAAAAGAAGTATTAGTCCACTTATAAATACTCACATCATAGGGAAAGAGAAGATTGCCAGCATGATGCCTGAGCAAATGTACTTTTTACAGAGTCCACCAGAAGAAGATTCTGAATATCAACCTGATGCTTCTAACCAAGGTATAAATGCTACTATAGTGATCCAAGTAACACTGTTCTAGTTAAGGGTGTGTATGCATTTTCATTATTTATTCTATTTTTAGAGGGGTCAATTTAGCAGTGTAAATCTCTCTATTTAAAATTTTATTGCTGGCTATTAAAAAGTCATTTCACAGCAAAAATACTGAGGGCTTCTGTATATTTCACTAGATACACAGTAGTAAAATCTGATTCTTTTACAAGTGTGAAGAAAACTATGTACATTTTTAAATTACTGGTTATCATTTAAAGAGCTGACCTTTCCAGATGTGGATAGATCCTCTATTTCCTGATAGCCATCACACAGAAGAGGAAGAGGAAAGTCCCAAAGGGCACTTCTGATCATTTAAAAAGCATTGCTTTGCTTGTTTGATCACCAGCTATTTTTTTCCTCACAAGCAGCAAGTTTAGATGTTATCCTCTGAGGCAAGAAATTCCCTATGCTCCCCTCCAGCCTTTCATTTTTTTTAAATGAACTCTTAATAAAACATAAAAAACCCACAAAACTTTCCACATCTTTTTTTCTGGACTGTCACTGCAGTGGAATTCTAACAATTTAAAAAAACCTACGTATCTCACACAGGACGTAATATAGTAGCATGACAGCATGCAGATATAATACTGTAAAACCAACTTTCTAAACATAAGAACGGCCATACTGTGTCAGAACAATGGTCCATCTAGCCCAGTATCCTGTCTTCCGACAGTGGCTGGTGCCAGATGCTTCAGAGAAAATGAACAGAAAAGGGCAGTTTATCAAGTGCTCCATCATGTGTCATCCTGTCCCAGCTTCTGGCAGTCAGAGGATTAGGGGCACCCAAAGCATGGGATGTTGCATCCCTGACCATCTTGGGTAATAACCATTGATGGACTATCCTTCATGACCTTATCTAATTCTTTTTGACCCATTTATACTTTTGGTCTTCACAACTTCCCCTGGCAATGAGTTGCACAGGCTGACTGTGCATTGTGTGAAGAAATACTTCATTATGTTTGCTTTATACCTGCTGCCTATTAATTTCATTGGGTGACACCCAGGGCCGGCTCCAGGGTTTTGGCCGCCCCAAGCAGCCAAACAAAAACAAAACAAAAAAGCCGCGATCGCGATCTGCGGCGGCAATTCGGCGGGAGGTCCTTCGCTCCGCGCAGGAGTGAGGGACCGTCCACCGAATTGCCGCCGAACAGCTGGACGTGCCGCCCCTCTCCGAAGTGGCCGCCCAAGCACCTGCTTGGTAAGCTGGTGCCTGGAGCCGGCCCTGGTGACACCTGGTTCTTATGTGAAAGGGTAAATAACCCTTCCTGATTCAGTTTCTCCACACCATTCATGATTTTATAGACCTCTATCATATCCCCCTTTAGTCATCTCTTTTCCAAGCTGAACAGTCCCAGGCTTTTTAATTTCTCCTCATATGGAAGCTGTTCCATACCCTTAATCATTTTTGTTGCCCTTCTCTGTACTTTTTCCAATTCTAATATATATTTTTTGAGATAGGGTGACCAGAACTGTACACAGTATTTAAGGTGTGGGTGTACCATGGATTTATATAGTGGCATTATGATATTTTCTGTCTTATTTATCCCTTTCCTAATGGTTTTTAACATTGTCAGCTTTTTTGACTACTGCTGCACATTGAGCAGATGTTTTCAGAGAACTATCCATGATGACTCCAAGATCTTTCGTGAGTAGTAACAGCTAATTTAGACCCCGTCATTTTATATGTATAGTTGAGATTGTTTTCCAAAGTACATTACTTTGCACTTATCAACATTGAATTTCACCTGCCATTTTGTTGCCCAGAAGTCACCCAGTTTTGTTAGGTCCCTTTATGACATTTCACAGTTAGTTTTGGACTTAATTATCTTGAGTAATTTTGTATCGTTGGCAAACTTTGCCACCTTACTGTTTACCTTTTTTTCCAGATTTGTGAATATGTTGAACAGCACTGTTATCAGTACAGATCCTTGGGGACTTTGCTGTTGATTTCTCTCCACTGTGAAAACTGGAAAACTGACCATTTATTCTTACCCTTTGTTTCCTGTCTTTTAACCAATTTCTGATCCATGAGCAGACAGTCCCAAAAAGGACTGGTTTTTGCTTAAGAGCTTTTGGTGAGGGACTTTGTCAAAGGCTTTCTGAAAATCCAAATGCACTATATATCAACTGGAACACCCTTGTCTACATGTTTGTTGGCACATCAAGATTGGTGAGGCATGATTTCCTTTTACAAAAGCCATGTTGACTCTTCTTTAACATATTGTTTTCATCTATGTGTCTGATAATTCTGTTATTTACTATAATTTGCCCAGTACTGAAATTAGGCTTACTGGTTTGTAATTTCCAGGATCATCTCTTGAGCCTTTAAAAAAAAAAAATCACCATTATGTTAGCTATCATCCAGTCATCTGGTACAGAGGCTGATTTAAGCAATAGGTTACATACCACAGTTAGTAGTTTTGCACTTTCATATTTGAGTTCCTTCAGAACTCTTGAGTGAATACCATCTGGTCCTTCATACTATTTAATGTACCAATTTGTTTCAAAACCTCCTCTATCGACACTTCAGTTTAGGTCAGTTCCTCAGATTTTTTTCACCTAAAAAGAATGATTCTGGTATGGGAGTCTCCCTCTCATTCTCCTTAGTGAAGATCAATGCAAAGAACACATTTAGCTTCCTGACAACGGCCTTGTCTTCCCTGAATGCTCCTTTTGCACCTCAGTCAAATCAATGGCCTCGCTAATTGTTTGGCAGGCTTCCTGCTTCTGATGTACTTAAAAAAAATGTGCGGATTAGTTTTTTTGTCCTTTTTGCTAGTTGCTCTTCAAATTGTTTTTTGGCCAGCCTAATTATACTTTTACACTAGACTTGCCAGAGTTTGTTACTTTCTATTTTCCTCAGGAGAATCTGACATCCAATTTTTAAAAGATGTCTTTTTGTCTCTAACCACCTCTTTTACTTTGGTTAGCCATGGTGGCATTGTTTTGGTCCTCCTGTTTTTTGGTTTTGTTTTTGTTTATTTGGGGGTATACATATAGTTTGAGCCAACTTTCCACTTTTTTTTCATGGGCTGTCATTGCAGTAGAATAAATCTATTCTAACCATATTTAAAATAAAAAACCTCCTACATATCTAACACAGGATATAAGATGGCAGCATGCCAACATGCAGATCAAATAATGTAGAACTAGCTTTTTCTGAATCAATTTTAATAGTCATCATAGAATCCTCTTCCAAAATATTTGTTCTTCGTAGCCTTTGAGGAATTTTGCCCATAACATATTAATGTAACAATTACAATATGGGTTTAATGTGCAACTTAAATATGCTAAACCCCAACTCAGTGCAATGCCCTAGGTTTCTTGGTAATTATTGAGCCCTTTTTATTCCAAAAGGGGGTGCCAAGCCTGTAGTAAGTGTCCGTATTGTGATAAATATCTAGACCATAACAAATCACTCTACTTCTGATGTGGCAGGGGAGGAGGCTAATCTCTTTCCAGTATGTAGTGTGACAAAGTTCCTCCTCTATCTTGGTGGGTCCTGCGCTTATTGGCAGATTTTCTTGCCTCAGAGATTCACCACGTGGGTTGAGGAACAGCCCAGAGACCTTCCCCTCTGGAAGAACCCACAGTCCAGGTCAATTGGGAGGTTTGGGGGGAACCCAGGCCCACCCTCTACTCCAGATTCCAGCCTAGGGCCCTGTGGACTGCAGCTGTCTATAGTGCCTCCTGTAACAGCTGTATGACAGCTACAACTCCCTGGGCTACTTCCCCATGGCCTCCTCCAAACACCTTCCTTAGTCTCACCACCGGACCTTCCTCCTGGTGTCTGATAACGCTTGTGCTCCTCGGTCCTCCAGCAGCACACCCTCTCGCTCTCAGCTCCTTGCGCCTCTTGCTCTCAGCTCCTCACACTCGCACCACAAACTGAAGTGAGTTCCTTTTTAAAACCCAGGTGCCTGCCTTAATTGATTCTAGCAGCTTCTTCTTAATTGGCTCCAGGTGTCCTAATTAGCCTGCCTGCCTTAACAGGTTCTATCAGGTTCCTGATTACTCTAGTGGAGCCCCTGCTCTGGTCACTCAGGGAACAGAAAACTACTCATCCAGTGACCAGTATTTTGCCCTCTACCAGACTCCTGTACCCCACTGGTCTGGGACTGTCACAGTAACCACCTTATACCTCCCAGCTAACGAGAATGAAATTTGTGTAGTATAGTAAATATGAGCGGAAGCAATAAAAATAACCTATCCCATTTTTGTATATGTCTGCTTTTTTTTACTACATATTAAATGTTTTGGTTTTTTGTTAAGGGCAATGCTATCAAGTGTATGAGAGTCAAATTCTTCAGCCTCTCCAACAAAGCAGTGAGAGGTCTGAGCTCCTCTATGTAACTTAGTGAGAGTAAGGCTCTGGTAGCATTTGTGCAGTAATATGTGTGGAGTGAGTCCTCTTAAGGGAAACACTGAGAGATCATGTAGTGGCATATATCCAATATGATTTCACTCCAGTTCAGTTACTGCTCTCTTGATCTCCAGATTTCTCACTGTCACACAGAACAGTTGAAAGAGGGGGTCAGATTCTACATGATGTTCCTTTTCTTGTCCTCTTCCATAGAAATACTTTACATTGTTTTATTTAGGGTTTAAAGACCCCACTTCAGCTATGTACTTAAGCATGTGCGTAATTTTAATCACATGAATAATCCCATTGAAGTTAATGAGGTGGGAACTAAGGTTTTGCATGAGTTGCATAAAAAGGGACATGCTCCCCTCATCCCCTGCAGTGGTTGCATATATGTGCCTCCTCCCCCGCCCGCCCCCCACAGGTACCCCCTTGCTTATTTTGAAGGTAGTTGATGTAGAGGATTTAAGATGCACTTTGTTGTTTGGACTATAGCAGATGGATGGCCCTTTAAAGGTCATCCTGAGAGAAGTATTTTTCTCTTCTCCCTTGTTTGCTAACCTACACCAGGTAGGAGTAATCCAG